GAATATAATTCATTTGTTTATAAGCTTAGTGTTCCCCAGTCAGCAGATTTTGATTCCATTTGATGTATTTTTAGGTGAACTACATCAATGCACACGCAACTTCGACACTTGCTGGTGACTTGGCTGAAGTGAGAGCCATTAAGCAAGTCTTCAAGAATCCATCTGAGATCAAGATCAATTCTACGAAGGTTCGCTCGCTCGCTTCCATGTCATTTCGTAATTGTTCTCTTATCTGATGTCACTTCCTTGCCTGCCAGTCCATGATAGGCCATTGCCTGGGTGCAGCAGGTGGGTTAGAAGCTATCGCCACTATCAAGTCCATAACTACTGGATGGGTGCATCCTACCATTAACCAATTTGTAAGTTAGTCATTATCCTGTCCAAATCTCCTGCTGGTTCATCTTGGTTCATATATATATGCTGGCGAGTGTTTAACCTTCTATTTACCTGCTTTGAGTTACCTCGTAAAGGCTTGTAAGTGTATATCTGTTAAAAACCTAGTTAAAAAAAATCTGTTAAAATCCAGTATCTATCAGAGTACATTCCGTGCTAAGAGTAAGATGGAAGAGAAGCTGAGCTCTATTTTGCAAAATTCCTGGTTTTCTCATTGTTACACAGTCCGATTTTCTCATGTTTGAGTCATTTCTCTTTTGCAGAAGCCAGAGCCTGAAGTTGATTTTGATACAGTAGCTAATGAAAAGAAGCAGCATGAAGTGAATGTTGGTGAGTTCCTCCCCAGTCCCATCCCCCTTCTGTTGAAAGATGCTCATCATGAATGATAGCTAAATGCTCAGCAGAATAGCTCACATAGAATCTACCATCCCTTCGCGAGTGCTTACAATCATCGTCGCCAGCATCTCTATCTTTATGCGTGTTTGGTCTTGTGAATGCAGCTATTTCTAACTCATTTGGATTTGGAGGGCACAATTCGGTGGTGGTATTTGCGCCATTCAAGCAGTGATTCGCCTTCACCTCAGAGATGTAGGAGGATCCACGACATTATTCGTCCTGGCAAAACTTGGTACAGGAGGACGAACAACGGTGTCCAAATGGAATCAAAAGCTGGTAAAACTTGCTACAGGAGGACGAACATCAGTGTCCAGGTCATTTGGTGTAGTATTTCTTTAGGTGTAGCCTGCTTGATTTTACCGGCTTTTATTCATCCTCGTGGAGCAAGTTTTGATGATTGGTATGGTAGAGTGGTGCTGCCTTGATCAGGACACTGTTGTCTATATGATACAGTAATTCTTTCGGGTGCTTCCCGTGTGTAGCATGTTGTAGAAAATCTGGAATGATGTAAAGGATCCTTCGTCAGTATCATAATTTGGTACATAGTTCCTTTGGATGTTCTTCCCCTTCCCTTGGCTCTACAAGTGTTGTTGTTGACAGTTTTCCGACTAATCGTCTAGCGCATGTCACTGAAGCATTATTTTTGTTGTCGGTTTTTTCGCGGGAACTATTTTTGTTGTCGTTGCTGCAATCAAGCACTTTTGTTTTTGCTAGTTAAAAATAATTACTCTCACCGTCCTATAATGTAAGACTTTTTTGACACTAACATCTTACGTTACGTGGGTAGATTATAAGCCGCCCTTGATGAGCTTGCCGTTGCGTGCACACCTCGTCCACAGCGACGTAGCTTAGCTAACTACTAATATCACCACTCCACTAGGTACACCAAGTCAAGGATGAATAAACCAACGTGTCAATTTCCTGAGCGGAGTAAACGAGGCCACTGACACAGATCAAGGCCACCTTTTGTGATATGATTTGCAGAGGAAACGTGACGCTAACGCCGAGACTCGGCCTTTTATTTCCACGCAGCGACGTAGTACTATCACGAAAGGTCTCGCTCGCTAGCTGCCGTCCCCGCCCGCCTGCCGCCTCGTGCCCTCGACACGACACGACACGATGGCCGCGGCCGCGCCATCCCGCCACCGCCCCGAGGGACCTCCCTCGGAGGAGGAGGCGGCGAGGGACTGGGCGGGGCTGCCGGGGGACGCGCTGCTGGCGGTGCTCCACAGGCTAGACCACGTCGACGTCCTCATGGGGGCCGGCCAGGTGTGCAGCCCCTGGCGCTGCGCGGCGCGGAACGAGCCGGAGCTGTGGCGCCGCGTCGAGGTGCGCTCCCACGCCGACCGCCGATCTCACGTCGCGGCGCCCTCCCGCGCCAGACGCCACTCCTGCTCCGTCCTCTGTGGGCTGGCGCGCGCCGCCGTCAGGCGTGCCGCGGGGCAGTGCGAGGCCTTCTGCGGCGAGGGCGCCGTGGACGACAGCGTCCTCTCCCTCCTTGCCGACTCGTGAGTTTTCTTTTCTTGCTCACCCCAATATGCTTCAGTCCCTTGCTGGCCAGTCTGCTTCAGTTTCGTACCAAACCTTCCGTGATCTGTTCGTTACAGGGCGCCTTCGCTGAAGAGCCTCCGGATCATCTCCGGCGACAGGATCGTCGACGAGAGGCTCAGCCTCACCATCACGAACTTCTCCCTGCTGGAGGAGCTGGAGCTCTCGCTTTGCACCGACGTCTACCCGGGGACGTGCGAGGCCGTCGGCACCGCCTGCCCTCTCCTCAAGCGCTTCCGTCTGAGCAAGAAGCAGTTCTGCAAGTGGAACACCAAGAACATCGACCAGGAGGCCATGGCCATCGCCACCATGGGCGGGCTGCGGTCGCTTCAGCTCTTCGCCAACCCTCTCAGCGACGACGGGCTGGCGGCCATCCTTGACGGATGCCCGCGCCTCGAGTCTCTCGACATCCGCCACTGCTTCAACGTTGGGATGGGCGCTGCTGCGATCCGAGCACGGTGTCCTGGGATCAAGACGCTGAGGCTGCCGGATGACTCCACGATCGATTACGATCTGAAGTTTTCTCCCCCGGATATGACCCCGTGGAACACCCAGGATGAGCATCAATGTGATTGGCACGAGTTGGTCTATTTCAGTTCATGGTAGTCTAGTGTACTGGTGTGCAGCTTCCCCACAAGATACCGCTGCTGTAAGTAGGAGTACAACCAAATGGACGGGTTAATAATGGCAATGATACTTTTTTTTGGTTCGTTTGATTTTGCCGACATGCTCATACACCATTTTTTTTTGACTAGAACTCATACACCATTTTCACCCCTCTCCACGATAAGGAAAATCCTGGTTTATACGTATTCTTTAGTTTATGTACCTTTGTCAATTTTTCTAGTACTTCACTTTTTTTTTAATAAAAGGGACGACTCCCCCAGTTTCATTAACGAACAAAACATACCACCACCAGGTCCACGCGCTCCCCACCACCCCGCCAATGGGAAAAGCAAAAGAACATGGAGAAACATAGCCCAGGTGGAGAAGAAAGGAAAAAACCCAGGAGCATCTCCTATCACACCTAGGAAGAGCTTCCCAACACACACATCCAGCGATTTTTGTCAAAATTACGGACTCCTGAACCCCAACATCAGCTAACCCAGGCCACTCTTCTTTTAAGACGACAAGACCATGATACTTGTGGATGATCAACCTCCTTCCAGTGGAATTCATGACGCCCAGTGTCGATGTCAAAACCGGCGGATCTCAGGTAGGGGATCCTGAATTGTGCGTTTAAGACGGATGGTAACATGAGGCAGAGAACACGATGTTTTACCCAGGTTCGGGCCCTCTCGATGGAGGTAAAATCCTACGTCCTGCTTGATTTATTCTTGATAATATGAGTAGTACAAGAGTTGATCTACCACGAGATCAGATAGGTTAAACCCTAGAAGCTAGCCTATGGTATGATTGTATGTTATCCTACGGACTAAAACCCTCCGGTTTATATAGACACCGGAGGGGGCTAGGGTTACACAAGGTCGGTTACAAAGGAGGAGATATACATATCCGTATTGACTAGCTTGCCTTCCACGCGAAGTAGAGTCCCATCCGGACACGGGACGAATTCTTTAATCTTGTATCTTCATAGTCCAACAGTCCGGCCAAAGGATATAGTCCGACTGTCCGGAGATCTCCTAATCCAGGACTCCCTCAGTAGCCCCTGAACCAGACTTCAACGACGATGAGTCCGGCGCGCAGTGTTGTCTTCGGCATTGCAAGGCGGGTTCCTCCTCCGAATACACCACGGAAGAATTTGAATACAAGGATAGTGTCCGACCCTGCAAAATAAGTTCCACATACCATCGTAGAGAGAATAATATTATCACAAATCTAATCTGCTGACACGTTTTGGCAGCATGACATCACGCCACGGCCCGGTAATTATTTGAACTGTTTTTCTTTAACCAGCCCCGCACATAACACGAGGCGGTTTCTTGACACGTCTTGTCAAAGCAGAGATCGTGTTCCCTTTATTACGGGATTCTCATCAATACAGACGTGGGTAACCCAACCGCGCCATCAATTACGACACTTGGGGGATAAGCGAGTTTTACCAGGCTAGTGGGGGCGCATAGTTTAGTCCGCCCTTATAAAGAGATAAGATCTCAACTTTTTCTATCCACGCCTTCTTCCTCCTTGCTCATCCATTCTCGCGCACTCGAGCTCCAACGCCCAAGTCCGCATCATTCTCCTCAACTCTCTCCAAACATGTCCGGAGCGGGAGGCAAGTGGATGGCCTCCTCCATCACGGAGGGACACATCAAAAAGCTACGTGGAGCCGGATACTTAGCCGCGGATATCGCGCACCGGCTGCCAGCCGCGGGGCAGATCGTCCCTACCCCGAAACCTCACGAGAGGGTGGTTTTCCTCCCCCACTTCGTCCGCGGACAGGGGTTTCCCCTCCATCCATTCGTCCGCGGCCTCATGTCTATTACGGGCTGGACTTTCATGATCTGGCCCCGAATTTCATCCTCAACATCTCGGTGTTCATCGTCGTGTGCGAGGTTTTCCTCCGCATCCGACCCCACTTCGGCTTATGGCCGAAGACCTTCAATATCAAGCTGAAGGTAGTAGGCAGCCAACAAGCGGAATGCGGCGGAGCCATGGTGGGCAAAATGCCCAACGTTACATGGCTCGAGGGCTCCTTCGTGGAGACCATAAAGGGGTGGCAATCGGGGTGGTTCTACATCACTGAGCCGTGCGACACCAACTGGGTGGCCACCCCCAAGTTTCGATCCGGAATCCCCATGCGGCTCACTTCTTGGAAGGAGAAGGGCCTGTCCTGGGGTTCATCGGTGGAGCTGGATGGACTCCAGAAGTGTATCCGGAACATGACAAGCAAGAAATTTAAGCTTGTCAACATAGTCCAGGTCATGCTCTTCCGCCGGATCCTCCCGTGTCAACAACGGGATTTCAACTTATGGGAGTTCGACCCGGCCCAGCACCAGACTCTACACGAGCTCTTCGACACGATGCATAAGGACGTCTGGAGGGTGTTGTTCAAGGGTGCCGAGGTCCCTCCTTCTCTTACCGAGGACCGCGGGCTAAGCGTGAAGCGCCCTGCGAATCCGGTAAGTTCTATACATCTGGTAGGATATTTATTTCCCATAGCTTAACTAGGTGTGGGGTCTGAGCTACCATGCCTTTAACAGGACTGGGTGGAGACATCGGAGCAGATTAACTGTCCGGCCCCTCTGCCCGAAGACCATGCGGACGCTCTCTTGACGGAGATGCAGACTCCGGCTCCTTATGAGGTGCCGGAGAAGATCAAGAAGAAGGCCAAGGGAACCCGAAAGAGTTCCCGGCGCCAGGTGGTATCGGACTCATTGTCCGATAACACCGAGACAGGCTCCTCCCATGAAAATGAGGAGAAGGAAGATGAAGATTCTCCCCTCCAGCCGGGGGAGACAAGAAAAGGAAGGCCGCCCCAACCGGGGAGGCCGAAGGGTCCAAGAAGGGAAGGACTCTCCTTCCGGACTGCTCTACCACCGCCGCCGACAGCGAAGACGAGTGGCTGCTCAAGGCCAAGCCCCTGGCGAACTCGTAAGTATTCGGATACCAGAGTAACTCATAGCATACATTTGTCGCACTGCTTCTCCTAACGTCGAATATGAT